GATTGATTCAAGACTTACAAGTGTGACGTGCGTTCAAGTTACATATACCTTTGATAGGTATTAACTTAATATGTCTACTTGCTGCCTGTTTAGATAATCAAGTTCATTGTAAATTACTACAAGGTCATAAGATCATTTATTATTAACAAATTACCCAACTTTTTTTATACATTTTTTATATTAAAAATTTTTTTATTTCTTATAATTCCGCCCGACGCATTGTTTTAATTCATGTACACATGTACTTTTAGCATATCCTCAAGATGCAACTTATTAATTTTTATTTACGTACTGTAGCTGCCGGTGAAAGTGCAGAAAATTCTATTTTAGCCAGCGGCTATACCTGTAAGTGCCCGTCTTTGACTTAAGTGTACTGTGCATAATGTAAAGTTTTTTCATATAATAAAACAAAAAATGTTTAATTTTTGGTAAATTGATTATGTTTTGTAAAAAATAAAGGAATAAAAGTAGTTGTTTATGATGTTAGTAATATAGTCCTGCAAGGTTGTAACAATTTTACAAAATTTGTATTTAGTTTCTGTTATGTGCTCACTAGTTTTAACATGATCCAATGTTTTATGCATTATGAAATTACAGGCACATGGGACTTGTCAACTTATGTCATAGGGTGACAGGTAGTACCCCTCAGACCTTTGTAATTTAAAGCTCTGAATGGCACTACAGCTGTTATTGACAGGAGTGTAGCTTACCATGAGGCGTACAACTTGTTCATCCCGTTACTTGATATTATAAAAAAATTAATGCTTTTTCGCACTTGTATTTTTTTCCATCTTTATTTATATATAGTATAGTGATACTTAGCAAAGCTGGTAGCACGCCAGCTACTTTATCTATAATACATGCCCAATACCTTTTCAAATTGTCTTGCACATTTCCTTTTCTTGTTTATTGGTAACTTGTGGGCCATTATTTTACTTCACATATAGATTTCTCTTATGTGATGATACTGCTATTTCTTCATCTTCATTTAACAATATTACCATGCAGTAATGTATTTAATGTTAAAAAAATTTATGATTTCATTCCGAAGGTAAACCTAGAAGAAATAGACCGCTTAAACAGTCTATCAAAAGGTGAAGAAGACCACCGTGCACGTTACGGTCTCACTAAACTATCGGACATGTCCAAAGATGAATATAAAAACTTACATTTGTCAGACGAAAAGATGACAAAGTCACCGCACCTGTATGGTAGAAGTTGGATCCAATACAAGGATTGGAAAAGACATAGCTACATGGTAACACGGAAGAAACGAGCTGTTCTACCTATGCAGGTTGATTGGTGAGTGGTTTTTTAATGTCTTCTAAAGTAGTTATGTACCATGTTCATGGCCAAAAATGTTGCTCAATTTGTGTGAATTTTAAAAGCTGATTAAACTGATATTATTTTGTAATTATTATTTAATCTCAAGCTATGTGTTGCCCAACCCAATATTGCCTTCTAATGAGCACACGAAATGTGTGCGGAACGCACTCCTGGGTACACATTTGCCCCAGTCAGTGGAGGTCAAGACAATGAAAGTTAAAAAAAAATCTGCAGTCATAGAAACCTAGTCCGCACACGCTAATAAAGGCAAATTCAAACGCTCCCAATGGGCCTACACGAGCGGGCGGGCCGTCAGTGCTCAAGGTCAACTTGCACCGCGAACAGCGGATTCGGAACAAAGAATTTTAGCTAAAAATGACGAAATGTGCGGTAAACGAGTGTAAAAATACCCCAGACAAACATAAAATAGATACTAACATCACATTCCACAAGGAAGTAACGCGGTTCAACTTGTATTTTTATATAAATATTCACTAAAACCGAAAATTAACCTACTACTAAAACTAGCCTACATGAATTTGATTTTTGCCTTACTTGTGACAGTTCGTTTGATATGAAACTATCATTCTATGCGTTATTATTCTAAGTCTGCAGTATTATAAATCTGTAGATTACGCACCAAGTTTTAATTTGTGGTGATTGCAATGAATAGATTAGTGATGATGGGCTGCAAACTTGTCCAGACCCTGAATAAGTCACTTTAATAATAACTAGTCGCAAAAGTTTTCGTCCTCCGAGACAGGCTACGGCGTGTAAGTGGCCACTCTGGCAGAGCTTAGATTGTAATTTTTCTTCTTCTTTATAATGTCAAAGCTTTATCGATACCATCGATGATTCCACCAATGTTGAGTTAAGGAACACACGCGTTTTTTACTCAATCAATAGTTTAATTTTATGACATTTGTTCGCGGGATTTTTACATTTTTATCGTCTTTACGGTGCGTGGCCATTTTGAACACTATTAACTGCCTGCATAAATTCGCTTTCCTGCCGAAAATTTATTTTCTAAGTTCTGCGCCATATTTATTTACTTTTTTTTCAGTTCCGCACATTTTCGCGCTCAAAATTTTACAAATGAATATTTTTCCTACGGCTTAATATGGCTTAACACGATGGTATCCTCATATCGGATGAGAAACAGCCAAATAATTTCGTTCGTAGATTGTGTAATTTGAATATCTAGATGCAAAGAGAGCTTCCCTCGTTGCGCTACTACTGTAGTAATAATCTCTTTTTCTAAATTTAGTTTCTTTTAGACGAAAATGTTGATGTTTATTGATGTGTTATTCAAACTACCAAACAGCAGTTCACTCGATGGAAAATGATAACCGTCGCCTATAGACATTGTGTTATTTAGGAATATCCTTAACATCTTAAACGTGATAGCCGGCTGTGAGTCATGAAATTGCGCTGGCTCGCCCTACTGAAATTGATTTTATTAGTGTCAATTTAATACATTATATACTGACTTACGTATGGTTGCTTATTGCGATATATACATACATATATGTACCCATTAGTTACGGTTCTCGTGTTTTTGCCAGTCCCTTGAGCAGCATTTGCTTAAATGCACTGCCAATTTAAAATGATATTAGTTCTTTATTAAAACTACACATAAATCTAAGCAAAACCAATGTTGTCAAACAATTTTTTTTCTAATAACATGCTGTACTTTCCACAATACGAATTTTATCAAGTAGGCATTTTAGGTACCTGTACCTACAGTCAGAATGATTTCAGCTTTCAAATATTAAAACTCAATCTTCAATTCTAGGGACTCCAATCCGTATAATCAGTAGTTCAAACAATCCTCATTATCCCCGATATTTTTTAGATTATGAAATCCGGATATTGAAGCTTTTTATTCACGCAAACAGAATTTTGAAATATTGTAAAAGATAGAATAGAATAGAAATCTTTTATTATTAGATAGACGATTGAATTTGTCATTTTTAAGATCTTTTTTTTTTTCAGAGAAAAAAAAAATTAGATTATTCCATTATTCCTATAATTGTTTTACATTTTATTGACATTTACGTAGTGGTGTTTATTGTTAAATTTTTTTATGTTATAGCAATTTGAAATATTTAATAGTTTGTTAATATTTCAGTTACCTTCTTTTAAGATGACTGATATCCAGAATTGTCATGTCTCTTGATTGATAAATCCTATGCGTGATTTCGAGGAAGACTGACTGTATTGCGTTATATACAGATCTTATTTACCTACCGAAGATTAAATTTAAATTTAATTGATATTATACCAAAACATGCATTAGTTTTCATGTAAATCGCGAATTTATTGATTTTTTATAGTTTTCCGAATAAACCCAAAAAATCCGGTTTCGCAGCGAAATTCGGATTTTATATATGATACGGATTCCCTGTTTAGTTCGATTTGATGAAGCTCCGGTAACTAGTTTAAAAAACCTGAAAAATCTTCCAGAGATAAAGTTCATTATGCTATGTACACACGCCAGTACATCAAGCTACACATTGACGTATCCTGTTCCGTTGTACTGGAGGCGATTTTCGAACAAAAATGTGTAGTCTGATGTGCCGTTGTCCGTACAATTTTGCTACAAAAATTCGCTGTCATTGTAAATTGAGCCAAAGGGTAAGCATTCCTAACCTCCTTGGCACAATACCCAGGTCGTGGGCCCTTGATGCAATTTACTACCTTTAACTTTTGAATAATACTGCTGTCCACTAGTTAAAACGCGGACAAATAGTCAAATATTCGTTTTAAATAGAAAAAAATAGCGCACAAAATTCTCTTTTAAAAACAGTTAAAATTAGTTACCGTGTTCGACTTATCAGAACTTTGACGATGCATAGCTGAAATGTTATCATTAAACAATATCAATATTCTAAAACTGGGTTATGGTTTTTTTAAGACATCTCAAAAAATTATTTCGTCACTTGGCCGCGTTTTAGTTAACGGACGGCAGAATAAAAAAACAATTTTTTTTCTATTCTTCTATTTTTCAACCGACTTCAAAAAAGGAAGAATTTCTCAATTCGATAGATTTTTTATTATGTTACGTGATTACTCCGACATTCTGTGAACCGATTTCGATGATTATTTTTTTTATTGGAACTTCACTAGTGGTTCCATTCATCCGATTAAATTTAAAGAAAATATTCCACCTCTAACAGTGGCAAATTAGGGGATGAATTCGGAATAAGATTTCACCGACTTTCCGTCGACCGTTTTCAATTTTAAAATTTAATTCCACAAATTTGCGGTTGCTATTTTTATAAAAATGTTATAATTAGTGTACCATTTCCTTTATGTATAAATGTACTGCCATGTATATATACTCAATATATCTATTATATTATAGCAATGAGTTTAACGAGCAGTTTCGATTCTGACATAAGAGAATGTTGCAGAAGTAAGGTAGGTGCATTTTATGCCCTTCAATAGTTCAACGTAGATAAGAAAGACATCTTAATGCAATTACTGTGTACTTATATGCGTAATAAAGATAATGTGATGTACAAAATATCTCTTACAATGAGAGCATTGAAGTAAAAATTACGAATGAGTGCTCTGACCTTGATAATGTTAGCAAATAGGTTATTGTTACATTATTTCGTAAATTATTGTGAAATATCTAAGGTACCTTAACACATGGCGTACCTTTACAATGTAAGTGACCCAATTCAAAAAATGAATAAAATGAGTTTATACTGTAAAACTACTTTAAAAATCATTGTTCACGAGGTTCTTAATCTGAAAGTGACCTACTAAAGCTCGGATTCACTAAATGGATCTCTTTCATTTTGTTCTTTCAGTTTGAAAATGCCACTCCCGCGTCGGAGTATCAACGCCGCCTTTAATGTGAATCTGCACTTACAAAGACAATTGAGCCATTTTCGTTCCGTAAACCGTCATTAAAAATCATTAAATTTTTACAAACGCGACTTAATTACTTTGAGACTTTCTTTCACAATTAAAACAACTTACTCTTGGTAAGGTCATAATACGTTCCTTAGCTGGTTAAAATCAAACAGACTTAATTCTTAATACGTCAAGTGGTAACAAAAAAGTTGAGTAAAAAAGTGACCTTATGGCGACTAGTTTTTGTAAATTATGTTTTTAAATTTTTAAATATTAAAATAATTTAAAACAATTTTTGCAGTTGTAAAGCTGAAAGTTTTATCATTATTTTCCAATACTAACAAGGCACAAACTTTAGTAGGTACTTCAATAGTAATAAATTGAATATTATGAAAATGTCACAACTTCAAATCTTATTTTGCGTATTCCCAAAAAATTGAAATTTTGTATTTGGTCGCTTTCATTATAAAGGTTTGTGTACAAAAGTACAGAGTTGATTGTAGGAAATTCATTATTTTTTTGGACTTAAATCTACCTATGCATGTTTTTTCAAACAAACCAACATTTCGGGCCTTTTAGTGGTCCCATGATCACGGCTGGCTGACGAGATGTTGGTTTGTTTGAAAGAACAAATACACGCGATATAGATTCGAAAAAATAGTTCCATTTTGTTGAGGCGTTGAGCGCGTGTTGCCACTGTTTCAGTGCAACACTTTACCAAATATTTTCTTCTTTTAGTCATTGTCATCTCCGTCACAGAATATAGGAACAACTTCTTCCCAAGCCGGTCTCCTTAAAATCTTATTCGAATAATCCTTACTTATCATATTCCATATTGCAGGACGTTTCTCAACTTCGTCTATGAATAAATCCGTATTAAAGGCTTCTGTACCTATTTCTAGAAAAAAAACCAATTTCAATTGCAAAACACATCTCACCGCGACGAAAACGCGGGCTCATGTGAACGGCAGTACAGCAAACCTATGATCTCATAGTGCGCTTTGAGCGCGCGTTTTCCGCTCGCATGTAAACACCTACATCGATTTACGTACAAAATTTGGTAAGTTGTAAGCGCGCGTTAGCAAAACGCGCGTTGAACGCTCGCCATGTGAACAGCTCTTAAGTCTCCCCTTGAGCACGCCAACGCCAGCCGCCCGCATTCAGCCGCTGACGGCCACCTTTCTCAGGTTGTCTGTCCATCTTGCCGCAGGGCGTCCTATATTACGTGGTCGCCATTCTAGAACAAGTCTGCTCCATCGGTCATGAGCCTTCCTGCGGACACGTCCGACAAACTGCCACTTAATTTAAAAATACCAGGCAAAAGAAAATAGTTATATATTTACTTACAATTTAAATTACACGGAAAAATAATTCGGCAATATCAGAGGGACATATTATCCTCTCTTTGTGTATTATTTTAAATAATTAGGTAAATGTACTCTGCCGATTTCAATCACTGGTTATTAGTCATACCGTGTGGTAAATAATAGTCGTTTAATCATAAATTAAGTTGCTATTAAAAATATTTTATTTTAAAAAACCTGATATAGAATCTCATTAATGGCGCACAAGGCTATTTTTAGTTATTGCAAATAGTAGGTCAATGCAAAATAACACAAAATCAGTTTTCGGCTGTATTTATGACTTATGCAAGTCATGTCATAAAAAAGTTACAAAGTAATAATAAAACAGACGCTGGCACTAAGTAGTCGAGAGCCTCAAAGAATAAAATAAAAAAAGAACATGGAAAAACGGGTAGGTAAAAAATTTGATGAACACGAATTCCAATAGATATCAAAACTAGTTTCTGTTGAACTCATTCACACATTAGTAAAACACATTAATGTACGTTTTCGTCAACTGTTTTAGAAGGTGGAATAAGAGGAATGTACTTTATTTTGAACCAAATATCTAGAGTTTTAGGAAGAACAGACAGTGTTATAGGATTTTTGAAGTACACTAAACTTGCCGTTGTTTATCAGCTTTACACGTTTTGACCTTCAGTTTTAACAATCATTACGCTGAATTCAATACATACAATGTTCATGGTTTCGGAATGTATAATTACTATAAATTATGAATATATAAAATATAGAGCAAATTGTGCTAAAAAGTAAACACGGTTTAGTAGCAGTAGAGCTTCTTGTGAAAGAGTTCGTCCAGTGAAGTACTGCCACCTTACCTATTTCTTATTACTGCCACCAAGCAGTATGTGAGCATTACCGCGTTACACGCAAAATAGGCGCCTTGACGTCGAGTTGCGGACACCAGCCTGTTACACCAAGTACCAAGTACTGCGTTTTGGTTTTAAAGGGTACATGGGACTTTTCAACTTATGCCTCAGGGTGACGGGCACAGGGACAGTGCCTCTCAGATCTTTGCGATTTGAAGGTCTGAATGGCATTTTGTGTTATAAACTAATTTATAAATGAATGTTTCCTAATGTGGGTAGATGGCGCAAATCCTAAACAAAACAAAAGAATAGCCTACACACTATTAAAAAAAAATCTGTGCAATATGTTCCATCTACTTGATTGGTTTATTTATCGAAGCTACTGTAATTTCTAGTGATAAACCAGAAAAATTACAGAAATTACAGTAGCAACAGTGATAAATTGCAGGCCGTTAATGTAAAACAAATTAGTTACAAAAACAACTCTTTGGTACAAGTATCGACATCATCAGCTTGATTTTGATTGCCTCTCCCGATTGTAAACTTTTGACATTTCTAATCGGAACAATAGTTGATTTAACTTACAAATCAAAATCAGCACGCTGTAGGGCTAGAACGATAAGGTGCGACTTGCGCGAGAGCGACATAAAGCGCGAGATCTTTATGCGAGACTAACAGTAACTCACGTGTCAAGTCGCTTTCGCGGTAGTCGCGCCCTATGGTGCTAACACCTCACTCGCCATTTCGGTATGATTAAAAGACAATAGGAACGAAAAAGATGTTACGCGTTTCGCTTCCATTGGGACTTTAAAACTTTTTGTGACCCGTTGTGATTCCGTATCGAGAGTGGTGACTGTCTTTGAGTTGAGATGTTATAGGACTGTAATTGATCGTGTGTTTTTTTACATCCTATGTTATAGGCGTACAAAAGGCGTGGTAGGCGGAGTCCGAGACCAAGGGCTTTGTGGTGCATGCTGGGCTTTCAGCACCGTAGGGATCATGGAGACTATGTCTGCTATTGGCAATGGGAAACTTGTGCAACTCAGCGTACAGGTAAATGCCCCTATATACAGACGATACCTCGTTCTGATTGATCGTTACGATGTCGATCGTTGCTATCTCCTGGCGTTCAAATTTTATCGGTAACAACATAAACGTACACTATAAGAAAGAAAGAAAATTTTATTCAGTATCATTAATTTTAAATTGTCCTTACAAAATAACGGTACTTACTATGGACTCGTCGTTCCGATCAGTCTTAAACGATCGTGAAGACAAATCACCCGTATGTGGGGGTTGGAACGACTTTTCACCATTTAGATTCACTATTAATTGAAATTGGCAGCTGACCTCTGAATATTATTATTAATAAAAATACTTACATATTATCATGGCCGTCTTCCATTGGAGTAGGCTGTGACCACGAACATTAAAAAATAAATAAAATACCAATTAATATAATTAATAATAGCAATAATATTAATATTCAAATAATTATTAAAAAAAGATATCATGTTGTCATCTATGTATATTTTTAAAAAACAATGGACATTGTAATAACCAACATCAAGCATCACCACCAATTTCAATTTGTGTTGCTCTATTTTTATTATAATTTTATTTTTATTGTTATTAATGTAAGATTTGTGTTTGAGAAATAAATAATAATAATTATTATTATTTTATACTTAAGAGCAGTAGCAACGGGAAAAAATAATTGCCAATGGTCCACCTCGGTGATCAGTCAGGCAGTCCACAGGCACGAAGGCGGTTAATGTTAACCTGAAACATAACACATAATAACTATGCCTGAAGCATTTTCAACTGATCTACGGAACGAACCAGCAAACCCGTGAGAAAATCTTTGAAAGTTTTTCTACAGATGGCGCTACGGCAAAAAAGTCGTTACAAAACAAAAACAAAAATCTGCAACAAGCACTTACAAAAATTCGTAACGTATTAATTATTTTTAAACCATTTCACAACCTTTCAGGAAGCAATAGACTGCGCAGGTCTAGGCAACAGTGGCTGCGCCGGCGGCGACATATGTCTTCTCCTCGACTGGCTGGCCATTACTAAGACTGCCGTGGATACTGATAAGCAATATCCTCTGCGCTTGACCGACGGCAAGTGTCGGGTTAATAAAACTGCTAGCGGTGTACGTGTTAACACGTTCACTTGTGATTCGTGAGTGCAATTCTTTTTTTCAGTCTATTCCGCGATACAAACCTAGAGCTAGTGCGGGGTCCGCGAGTAATTCTCCCTTAGTCGTAACTTTTTATTATTAAGAAAGTAAACATAAATATCTTGTTATACATTGGGCAGAATTAAATTACGATCTGAACTGTTTTAACTTAATCAGTATTTCACTTTCGCCATTGTTGTAATCTAATTTACGATTTTCTTTTCTATTCAGTTTTAAAACTTCTTTTCTATTCAATTTCATGTATTAGCTTAGAGCCGGGGTTCCCAAACTTATTTTGTCTACTGCCCACTTTCAGAATGAATTATTTTTTAGCGCCCCCATTTTTTCACCTACTTAAAAATCACTATAACTTCAAATTAAATTAATTATTGTGAGCTATATTAGTGGAGATTAAACAGTCATTCTAAACGAGACTTTTACGATAACCCGCAAGTGGTAACTTGAGACCTGAGCGCAGTAGGTAGTACACAACGGCGCTCAGGTCTCAAGTTAACTCTGACGGGCTACACCTGCCGATGTGAGTGATTATTGAAACGCAACTTTATAGTATTCAGACAGAGAATCTATTATTCAAAATAATACTAACGTAATAGATTCTAATATAAAAACTAATGTGAAGGATGAATCTGATGTTGTTTAATAAGTTTGTTGATATCAGGTTCCATTTACTCAATAACAGCCGCAAGTCACCACGTTCGGTAACATGCAAACGATTTCTCTTTTCGGTAAGCAGCGTTGTCACAGCACTAAACCCACGTTCACACAAATATGACGATGGGAATGCTATCAAGAATCTTTGAACGATTGACCATAATCCAGGGTACAATTGCGGGATCGGTTTTTGTAGCCAAAATTCTTGGTAGCCATTTTTGAACTTGATTTTTATTTCCTCTTTCGTTGTCAATTCTATAAGTTCTTCTTCCAGCTGAGGTGATATTGCTGTGTTGACATTTGAAAACGGATCCAACACCCTGTCTGGTATTTCCAAATTCAAAATGTCCTGGTATCGTTCGGTGAAGTCAATGTGGAGGTTTTCCAAATGTTGACAGTAGGCAAATAAGTCGTTACTGCAGGATACTGATAAACTCGGAACATTGTGAAACTCACATCTGCCCATATTCTTTTTGTGTAGAAGCAGTTTGGCTGCGACAGCAGCAACGACATTTTTTGTTTAATTGAATTTAGTTCATCGCCTTGCAATTGGAGATTCATGTCGTTGAACAATTTATGCAGGTCTGTCATGTAAGCTACATCATTCTTTGATGTAATGAGCTTGTTGCGCAATTCTGTATCTTTAGTTTCCAAGAACTCTATCACAGAGTCAAACAGGTTGTAAAATCGAGTCAGACAATTGCCTCTTGATAGCCAACGAACTTCAGTATGAAACAACAAACGGTTGAAATCTTCGTCATTAGTAGCACAAAGCTGATGAAATAATCCATCATTCAAAGAGCTGTTACGGATTTTATTAACTGCTTTGATGACATATTGCAGTGATAAAAATAGTCGTTCACTTAAATTTATAGCAACCAAATGTTGTCTATGAATAACGCAAAGTACAGCAAGGACATCTGGAATTTTATTTTTAAGTACGCTATGAAGCCTTTATGGCACCATGGTTTGCCGGAGCGCCATCCGTAGCAACAGATATAATATTTTTCAAGGGAATATTTCTCATCACAAAACTTTTCTAATGTATTGAATATGGTTTCGCCTTTTGTATCGGTCTCTGAATTTCTAGCAAACAATAGTTCTTCACATATTTTCTCATCTTTAATAAACCTCACGTAAGACAGCAACAATGCTTCATTAGTTGGTAAAGTTAAAAAAGTAGAAGTAAAGGTTGGTAAAGGCCGTTTCTCCAATTCGTCTTTGCACAGAATTATTACTCAAATGAATTTTTCGGATAATATCTGCGGCCGGTTTATGAAGCACAGTACTTATTACTTCCTTTATTGCTGGCAAATTTAACTCTTCTCCGATGTTGTGTGGTTAGCCTTTTTGAGCAATTAACAAAGAGACGATTGTACTTTATTTGTACTGATTGTACTTTTGTATTGTACGAAGCTCGAAGTCCGTCGTTATCTTGCTTAGCAGCCGCCGAAAAGAGTTTTGCTGAGTACTATGCTTCTTGTCTAGGTCTTGAAAATATGCTACATTCTTGTGTTTCTTATCTGGATGCAAATGATCTTGCAGTCTTGAAGGCTTCATTGCTTCATTCGAAAATGTTTTTAGACATAGAAGGCACAAAGGCGACGACGGGTTTGTGGGATTTTCAATGAATCCCAATTTAAATTGGGATTCATTGAAAATATATATTCCGCACAGTATTGCCGTCTCTTCTTTTTTACTTCAGACATTGTTTTGTTTTGAGAAATACGTAAGTAAGTGTTGAACTTAAGTACTGCTTATCTATTACGCGCGAAACCGCAAATGAAAATAAAATAAAGATTACGTTGTTTATATAGGATTGCATAAGCAGCAGGCACTACAGGAATAAGACAAACATGCATAAACTCGTTTATCTTATTCGACGCTCAATCGTACTCAACAAGTAAGAACAAGTATTCTATGAACCAGCCGATTGATACAGGAATGCAGAAATCGGGTTATTTAACAAAAACTTGTTAAAACATGATTGCCCGCGGTCTATTATCTACGAAAATTACCTATCTAGAAATACTAATAACTGTTAAAATGCGAAACTGTGTCTGTTGCCTTTTTATTTGTTTGTTTGTGTCTACTTTCAATTCGAAACGGAGCGACCGATTGACATGATTTTTATTTGATTTATTCAATAAAACAGGACAGATATATGAACTACACGGAGAGAAATATCGAACCGAGTTAGTTTGAGCAATCTCTTAATTAATATTACTTGATGTTCACAAGTTATAGTCGAGAGTCGAGAGCTCAGTCGGTGTCTAAGAGCTTCCTAGAGGAAATGACAAATCTCTCCCTAAGCCCACAATGCCCCCATTTTTTTTTCTGGGTCTCTTACCCCTATAGGCCTGCAGCGGCCACAAGGGTACGTTATCGCCCACTTTGGGAAAGGCTGGCTTAGAGGGTGGAAAAAATGAATAGTCTGAGTGTCGTATTCTAGAACTCTACTCAATGCTCAAGTCAGGATTTGAGTATGGTTTCAAGCACTCGAAATCATACTCAAGTCCCTGCCATTAGGGTCGTATTTCCAGTGCTTGTGTTTCCAGTGCAATCCTGACTTGAGCATTGAGTAGAGTTCTAGAATACGACCCTAAGTGTATTAGTCATAGCATAAGTCTTATGACCCTTTGGAGTTTTTTTATCTTATTTCTCTTGGCTTTTCGCGATAAGCGTTTTAGCCACTTACAAAGTGTTTTGACAAACTTGTTTTTAAAATGGGGAAACCTATAATATCATGGAACGTAATTTGGAACGGGATTTGAAAGTTGGAGAAAAAGTGAAAAAGAGAACAGGCGAGGAATTAAGAGATGTAAATAAACAGATAGTAGTTAATTTAATTAACGCATATACTCAACATAGCCCCGCACTAGGGAAACCCTGTGTCGCGGGTGCCATGGATACACTAATGGACAACCACAAATTACACCCAAATTCAGGAGAGAAACAAATGTTAGCTATATAAATATTTCTCCCGGCCCGGGAATCGAACCTGGGACCGGTTCGGCATGGCCGTTCGGCCACGGAGGCAGTTATTCAATAAAAAGTTGATTGAAAAAAGCGCCAAATGGCTTTTCTATTAATTTCAATTATCAATGAAATAGTTTTTTTATTATCGTTTTGTATAACAACAATTGACTAATTTGGTAGGCACTTTTTCAATCAACTTGCTATTGAATATCGTTAGAAAAATGTTGAAATTAGAGGTTGTAACTTATGTAAATTGTCACTCACCGCGCAGCTATCTCAGGAACGTGTAGGTACAGGTTCCTGAGATAGCTAATTATATAATACAAACATTGTCCTATTGTAAAATTTCAAATTATTTGTTTTGTTATATATTTTAGTGTTATATTGTTGTTTGGGCCGTATTTTATTTTATTCCTTGTGTTTTTAGGATATCTAGTTTTGACTAAGTTAAGCTTTGTCTTATATTTTGATATTGTGCAATAAAATTTATATTGTCACACATTTTCAGCTTCGTAGGCGCTGAAGAAAAGATTCTGGATGCCATTGCGACTCATGGCCCCGTTGCAGTGGCTGTTAATGCACTCACGTGGCAGAACTATCTCGGTGGGGTCATACAATTCCACTGCAGGTATGCGTATGTACATTAGAACGGTACCTTAGGCCCCACGAAAAGAAGGCGCCGCACAAACATGGACATTTTAATCCTCCATCACGCCACCAATCAAAATATTATTATTATTATTATTTTAATTGTCATGATCATAATCCGATAATTGTCATGATAATTTCGTGGATAATTATCTGTTAAGTAATTATCTGATTTATCCACGCTGATTCTTAGTTTTGTCTCTGTTTTTGGCTAAAAGTGAAAACACTACAATATTATGTGAAATAGATATTTATATTGATAATTATCAATTGTTTTATGTTTGAAAATTACGACCGACCGACGAATTAAACCGACTTCACGAAAGGAGGCTGCCAAGTTAACTGTGTTTTTGTGTATATTTTATACGGTTACTGCGACATTTGAGGTACCCCAATAGTGACCCCATTAAATTTTGAAGAAAACATTCCACCTCTAAGGGTGGCAAATTAGGGGATGAATCCGGTTTATTACAATTCACCCACTTTCCAATAAAACTTGGGAAATAGATGTAATGCCACAAACTAAATAGTTTGTGGCATTACATCTATTTGCCGTCGGCTATTTTCTATAAAAAACGTTGTTGAACAAGTAACTTTCAGTTCTTAGGTTTTCGCGATTGTTACACATAGGAAATGAAACTATTTTTCCGGATTTAAATCGCGTATATTTGTTTTTTGAAACAAACCGACGTTACGGGCCCATGGTCACGGTTGACTGAGGTGGTACAGTCTTCAACCAGTTATGTCCAATATTGATGCAAACCACCCTATTTTTCCAATTTACGCTACATTAAATTTTACAAATTACTTTATTGAATGAATTTTTATTAAGTTCAATTTATTATTAATTAATAATAGAAATTAGAAAAAAATAAAACATATTAATTAGTACTGCAGTCTTATGTCTGTTTAGGATTTTTCATTAGAGGAATACTGGATCCCAAACTGGTGGTACGGAGAAACCATCTTCCCTGTTGAAATTAGGATGTTTTTTAATTTCAATGGCCTCTCGCATCCTGGAGAGATAACGGACTTCTTTTGCAAGGACCTGGGGTTTGTCAAACTTCATTGCATGTGTAGGTTTATTATTATTAGGTTAAAAAACAAATATACGCGATTTGAATCCGGAAAAATAGTTTCATTTCCTATAAGTAACTTTCATTTAAATATTATTATAATCGTAATACATATTTTAAAGATTATTGCTTACTTACTGCAATTCTTGGATACGGTTCAAAGTGACAAATCGTCGTTTGAGACTAGGAGGTCTACCGTGAAATACGAAGTAACGTTTCAGCTTGGTATCGGACCGGAGGCTACCACCCACAGACATTTATTTAGATATCTAGACATATATCTAGATATGTCCCTGCTACCACCTAAGAAAATCGTGGTTTGACTTAGTCCTTTCTTCGCAACGACAAATGACAGCTTTCGTATCGAATTTTGACATTACTTTCATCGTAAAACTGACATAATGTCGGACGTATGAGCTTCGTTGCAGACGCAGTCACGTGTTATCGTATTTTGCGGTAGATTTCCAGTTTGGTGTGGTTGTCTGGCACATTATTATTATTTTACTTACAGTGGCACCCCAGCTGACCTAAACCATGCCGTGCAGCTTGTGGGGTACGATCTTACATCGGAAGTGCCATACTATATCGCGAAGAACTCCTGGGGACCAGAATTTGGCAACGCAGGGTACATACATCTCGCTCTGGGAAGTAACATTTGCGGATTGGCTAACGAAGTTGCTAGTGTTGACGTTTTATAAGGAACTAGCCAAAAGCTAGATTATTTTGATTGATAGTGGTCAGCAAATTTTTGAGTTGACTGTATACAATTTAATAAGAAAGAAAGCTGGAAAACATTTATTTGCACACCATAAATGACACCACATAAGAAATGATAAATAAAAAGAAACAGTACAGAAAAACATTTTGAAAACCAAAAATACAAAAAAAATCATGATTAAAAAACGTTCATACTTATGACAAATAATTACGGAACGAAATCACAAACACAACGAAAACTAAATTTCACCATAGATTATTTAATTAAACATAAGACCCCCCCAAGTGAAAATATATATGTGGTGTCAGCTGTCACTAACTCAGTATTTGCTGGATTTAGATTTATTAAGTATCTATAATAATGTCGACATTGTTTGTGAACTGTTATAACCCAACCTAATATGGGTATTTTGCAATGGTTGATATTACTATTAAAGCCGTATTTTTCCATAATGCAATGTGCAAGTTTTCATATTTTGCGTAAGCCTCAAATCAAGGCAGTTAGACATTGGCACTCGTAAAGAGCGGTATATCGCTCCGGGAATCGGGAAGTCAGTTAGTTATCGATTTAGTGTAATTTTTTACAATAAATCGGGTGTTGGGAAGTTAGTGCTTTTTTAAAAAGACAAATCGGAACGGCCGCCTAACAGAACGTTTACTAGTAAGATTGGCTGCTGTAGCCGTGTAAGGGCACATGAATGGGCGAACAACCGTCGCTCTCATTCTAAATAATAGCAGTCGCTGTAGTCGAAGCCGACTAGGATGATATTATTATTATTATTATTAATGTTGGTGTTATTCCATATTTTTTATAAAATCTCATTGTTTATTATTTAAGATTTTTTTTTATTTTAAGATTATTTAGTGTTACAGAACTAAATAGGATCTTGATTATTTGTCACAATGTACATGTCCGTTAGAGATGAAACGGATATCCGGTATCCGGTCTATTTTTAATATCCGGCCGTATACCGGATGTTTAAAACTTAGAAAAATTCATAATCAGTACGTCAAATAAATTGATTTATTGATTAAAGATGATAGTAATAGGATAAACAACAAGTACCGGATCGTTGACAATCTGTTTATTACTTGTAACTGAAAGAACTATGAAGTTAGATAACGCTATCTGTCAATGTAGTATTCAAATTTTAATAAAGGCAAATTATGGTGGATGAAGTTCAGTTTTTCTGCTTTGTTAAATTTTAAATACTACTTGTTATTTCCATTCAAATTCAAAATAATCTTTATTTCATTGGCAAGCATTATTACACTTGAAATTGTCACAAAGCTTAAACTCTACCGCTCCTTCGTAAGGCAGATTCCCCTAGGAAAAAATGAGCAAGAAACTCTAGGGGTTGCTCTTTGTAAATAACATTTGTACACATTCAACATTTACAATATATATTTTATTTGTTTTGAAACATCAGAGATCGAGACCACCTCCATGAGCTAAACGGGTTACTACCACGGATTTTTGTCATCCAAGTACGCAGAAGTTGTATAATAATAACCTTTAGTATAAAGGTTTTGTTTCACTATAGTTTTAAACCTCGTGAAAGGCAAATTTTGTATATCAACCGGAATCTTGTTATAGAAGCGTATACATTGCTCCTTAAAAGATTTTTTTACTTTGTGAAGACGACTATCAAGAACAGCTAGTTTATTTTTATTCCTCGTATTAATGTTATGTCTGTCACTATTTTTCATAAACAAATTACTATTCCTTTTAACTTATCTCTCAAAGATGCTTTGGGGCTCAGATTGTAAATTACCCTAACCGCACGTTTCTGCAGGACAAAGATTCTATTGATATCGGCGGCACTACCCCAAAACAAAATGCCGTATGTCATTAGACTGTGAAAGTAGCTGAAGTAAACCAATCTAGTGGTTTCGACTTCAGAAAGTTTCCGTATTTTTTTAATCGCGTACACTGCAGAGCCGAGCCGTTTTGATAACTTACTTATATGGGGACCCCCATTGCAATTTAGCATCTAACTTTATACCTAGAAATACAACTGCATCCACGAGATTCAATTTTTCGTTTCTAACTACAATGTTTGTAACCGTCTCTCTAACATTGGGTAATTTAAATTTCACACAATTTGTTTTTTTTTTTCATTAAGGAGTAGGTTATTAACAGCAAACCAATCAACTACTTTAGATTTTCAGCTACTTTTCGATCGATTTGAACTGTCTTCAAATACAATGTGTACCTACAATAATGAAACGTAGAAGTTTTTTTTATGTGAAAGTGCAATCATTCACTAATCAATCAATCACGGCGATGCGCGTTGTAAACTGTTTACGGCAGCGGGTCAGATATCCTGCGGCCGGATATCCGGCTATCCGGACTAGGTGCTCGCTGTGTATCCGGTATCCGGCATAATCACTATCCGTTTCATCTCTAATATCCGGTTTTCTTGGATAATTAAAAAAGAATTTAAGAAATTTATGATGATAAGCTAAGTAATTAGGTTTGGGACATGAAAAAATTTATAAAAAAAATCTTTTATTTCAGAAAACTATTTTCCTGAATATTTTTCGTTAAATTTTCTACTTTTGACAGTGACATTTGTCAAAAGTTGAATATACTGAACTTTATTTAACACAGAACAAGCCCCTAATAAATAAGAATTAAAACTTTATTGAGAATTTGTGAAAATAAGCCAAGCAGGGTTTAGAAAATTACATTAAGAATGTTTATACTATTTTATTTCATATTTAATGCTAAATAAAACATTGCAATATATATCTAAACGTAGGACATAATATGATTCTTCGAATTATATATTTCAGAAAATTTTCCTGAAAACTTTCCACTTTGAAATTTTTTAGAAAATTACCCAACATAAATAACTGAGAGAGTAACTTTTTTGGGAAACTGACAAAATAATTAAAAAAAAAGCATAGTTAGTGTATCATACACAATAAAAAGTAATAAATCTACTGCTAATCTAGGCTAATATATCAAATAAAATTTTGTCAAAAGACTTGTACCGAATTAGTATGGAGCTGGGTACCATAGATATAGGAAAAAAATATCTGTGCTTGGTACTAATAAAGTACCAAGCTGCATAGAAAAATTTAACTAGACTCAACTTTTTTACTTGAAATAAAGAGCTTAGCAGAATAATAAAACAAAAATAGACTTGCTTTTTTTTAAAATTGATTTGAAACAAAAGTGTGACAATTAGACATATTTAAATAATTACCAGCAACACTGCGATACTAAGAAAGTCCAAAAAGCAGCAACACTTCAACGCTAAACACACGTATATGCAAAAACCTAGAATTGGCTTAGACTATTTTTCCTTTATTTTTTTCCATCCTCTAAGAGAATTGGCTATTGTAACAAGAACATCTGATCTGTCAATATATTTTTCATGGTATTGGCCACTAGCCTATTAGATTGAAAATCCTTAACAATCTTCTGAAAAGAAAAATAAACACATTCCATTTTTTTTCTTTAATAGTACTTGAAATGATACTGAAGTATGTACATAATTATTTTATATTTGTATGCTATTTACGTGTATAAAAATTATAATGAAATATTTTTTTTACATGAAAATAGCGAATCCAAATAGCCTCATTTATAAATTGGGATCGACGTATAAGTTAGAGAATAGATTTCTTAGTCAAGTAGATATGACAATCATGTTATAGTTTTGCCATTGGTCTGCTGTTGGCAGCACGTGTCTATGCAACTTTTCATCAAAATTGTGAGCTACATGTGGATATACTTACGTTTTAATACGTATCGCTGTATGTGTGGTAGCTTGGTGAAATCGCACATGCTAACTAACATAGTATTATCTCAAAAATTGCGTTATATATCGCACTGCTATTACAATAGTATTGTAACTCAAAACATGTGAAATTCAATATTATATCATTACTGAACGTAAAATTTGATTCTCTACACGTTAATAAAAACGTCGTTAGAGAATATTGTAAGAGATAATTAAAAGATATCTTAAGTCCTAATGAATTACTTTATGTGATCTAGTCCAAAAATAGTCCTTATTCAAAAATGTGAAATATTTTTTCCATTTTATTTTTAAATATATTTGGAAAGTAGAAAATGGTTTAAGTGTCTGTAATAAACTATAACCCATATATAAATTTTAATGATCTTTCAAGGGAAGTGATTAATTCGTTTTTCATCGTTTCTGAGAAAGTACACTTTTTGAGTTAATACACTATTGTATTAACAGTGCTATATTATTTCAAGAATTGCGTTATATATGTATATGCGTGACATTCGTATACGGTTTTTTTATGTACACACGCCAGCACATCAAGCTACACATTGACGTATCTTGTTCCGTTGCACTAGAGGCGATTTTCGAACAAAAATGTGTCCGTACATACAGGCAGATAACTCCATTCCACCTGATGTAAAATGGAAAATGGAATCCAAACGTGAAGGAAGCTAGTACTGTGGTAATATAATCACCACCCTAGCCACCTCCACCCTGCATGCGTACAAGATGCCTCTTCACGCCTCGTTTGAAGGACCCCATGTCGTAAGACGGAGGGAATACGTGCCCTAGAAGGGAGTTGCACTTCTCAACACTGCGATACGGAGGCTGCCTCCGCGGCGATCTTCACCGACAAGAGAAGCCAACGTGGACCATTCATGCAATGAGCCATCGCGTATACAATCACATACCTGACGATATCACTAACGCTCCGAGCACGTCTCGACAGGAAGACGCTTTAGGCTAAAATGTGGCTCCTAAAAATCCAGCGCTCTTTTTTTAATTTATCGGAATGTTTTAATTTTAAGTAATATTATTTTACTGTATGTAGGTTACTATAATTCTTTAATATCAGTTTATAACGCAATTCAATACATTTGTTTAGTTAGTATTCTCATTGACATTTAAGGTACTACATTGACATGTACTGAATGGAAATTATGAATAAATGATTATGATCAACTGTGCGACAGAGGAAGGTGCCACCAAACATTTTAGTTCTCGATTGAATATGGCTGGTTGTAAAACGGTGACGACGAAGGCCAGCACGCGTGATTCGGAGCAAGAAAGGGGAGGGCGGGATCAGGTTGAACAGTGCTTCAGAGCACTCGCCATGGTACATCCGATAGAAGGCGCTAATTGATGCATCATCTCTACGCAGTTGTAGAGGTTCAAGGTGTGATGATACCTCTTCATCGCCAATGAATCTTTTTAAAAATCAAAGTGACGGTGCTGCCCTGTCACTTACGTAGCGCAATTTTTAAGATAATACTATGTTAGTTGTCATGTGCAAAATGTGAAAATAGATATTGGTTACTTGGAAAATAGAATGCAAAGTAAGTTACCACTACTAGTTACTTTTAAACTTATTACCATTACGCATGATAAAAATAAAAATTATCACATACAGGGTAAAAGATATTATTGTACTACATAAGTATAAATAAGTTGTTAATAATTTTTGTATTCAGTAATTTTTATACATATATATTTATACAACCACTATCGTGTACTAATGCTGCCTATATCCTTCCTGTAAAAATATTTGACGTAACAATTTTTTGTATTAACGGTGTTGGGGCGAATGTTAAGAGTTAAATTGGACCAGTTTAATAGCTAACTGGTTTTCAAAGATCGGAAAAGGGAAAGTATATTTACTTAAACTTTTTTTAAATAATGTTAAGTGACGGGACGCATAATTCGTGCGCCTAATGGTAAGCTACACGCCATCCATAACAGTTGTGGTGCCACTCAGAGCTTTAAATCGCAAAGATCTGAGGGGCACTGCGACTACGCCCGCCAACCTGAGACATAAGTTGACAAGTCCCATGTGCCTGTAATTTCACCAGCACCCTTATCCTTCAAAACCGAAACACAGTAATGCTGACATTACTGCTTGGCGGCAGGTAGGGTGGCGTGAACTTTTTCACAAGGAGCTCTACTGCTACTAACTTCAAATAATACAGTGTGAACAATACCTCGTAGTAGTATAGTCCTGCAAGGTTGTTAATATTTTACAAATACACTACGGTATTAAAATAAATGCCAGTTACACATAAAACATAGAACAAAATACAATAAAATAATTCCAAGATTTCAGAGGGAACTTTAGGTAAATTTTTTCTGCTTACACCGATCTGTGATTATTATACTCGAATTCGATTTATATTGTCTTTTTTTTAATAATATTTTTAAATGAAACGTCTAAGAGTACTAATTAATAAGTCATATTGTTTAAACTTAAGTGCCATACGTATCCTACTCAAAAACCTTCTATTTAAAACGTTTTATAGTGCCTTGGCGTTAAAATTAAGACAATCATGTTTTATATACTCCCGGGCACATAATTCTAGCCACTTAGTATTTTCAGTACTAAATTCCCTAAGCTTATACAATGTTCGATAGATTAAAACCATTATGCAATTTTGACACTGGTATATTAAAAAATTTTTTTTGTTGATAACAGTATTTTTGTATTCTACTTATGTAATTACTACTACCTTTAACCATTATGTTCCACAAATCTTCACTAGAAAAAATCCCCACTGGTGAGGAATAAATGTTAAATAATAAATAGATGTGAACCTTTCTGCCCCAACGGCCGTCGGGGTCTCGGGTCTTGAATGGAGACCACGAACCGGAAGGCGTTCAGTGGGACGGCCCCCTACTAGATGGACGGATGACCTGGTACGGGCGGCGGGTAACCGTTGGATGCGCGTTGCGTCCGATCGGCTGGTCTGGAAATTTTTGGGGGAGGCCTATGTTCAGCAGTGGACGTCTTCCGATTGACATGATGAATAAATAGATGTAATTCCGCACACTTTTGAGGTCGGTTTCTTTTTTTTTTTATGAAAAATTACAATTATATTTAATTTTACGGCGAACGCCGTTACTGTCCAGAAATAGGGTGAGAATAAAATTCCAAGGTGGCTCAAATTATGTGTCCGGGTGTGTAATAATAACAATAATTTTCTTGATAAGTAAAAGTGGGCGACCTTATGTAATAATACCGTAATTTCGCGAAAGCGTGAATTGATTTTCGTAGTGGTTCCTTAAAAATCACTTGATTTGTAATATCGTTACGCTAATAGCTGTTATGAGTTAACATTGGAATGATGTGTAACAGTGTTGAAAATATATGTCCAATTGTTTATATTCGTGTGTTTTATTAACTTTATTTATAGTGTTTTTTTTTAAATCCCATTTAAAAAATCAGTATCAAATCCGAACCCGTAGAAGATACAGGGAAACTGTCTTAGGAACCGTGAAGTCTTTTTTTGTGAACACAATTTCAGCATAGTCAATTTTTTGGTCAAGCACGAGTTGTTTATAAAAATGAATAAAATTGATCAAATATTTTTTTAGTGCCGGTCGACTCAGTTTCATGAAGAGATCATTTCATTGTATGCTTCTTGGTCATGTAGTTGATGATTGTATGAGACGACAAAAATCGTGACAGCAGAAGTTGGTCAAATTTCAATGAATCAAATTGACTACTTTTTAATGCTAATAAACTCAGTTTCTTATAAGGATGACTTCATTGTATCGGAAGAAAAAAATTGGGACAGCTGAAGTTGGTCAAATTTTATAAAATGATTTTTCATCCTCACTACTCGAACCAGTAGAGATTCAAAACTTACACAAGTTTCTCACAGGTGGCGTTACGGCGGTTTTCCAATGTCTTGTTACAAAAAGTTGAACGGAGACCGTTTTGATAACGTTTTAAATAGCGATGAAAGAGACTAAATCTTTTGAAGGCGTTTTATAACGACTCGACTCCATTTTACAGGAGTCGACTCTAAAATTAAGACTGGAGGTTCGAGTTTTTATTAATAAGACTCAGTCGTTATACTAAAAGACAAACGACTTAAACAACTTGAACGACAAACGACTTTGAGTTGTTTGCCATGGACTTATACCTATTTTAGTTATATTAAACCCGAAGTTTATAAATAAAATTGACGTAGTATGTAGTCAATAATCACGTTTATTTCCTTATAATAAAAATTAGGATTATAGGAAGGATAGAATAGGATAGGAAAGAGTGATTTAAGCAATAGGTACGAAATTTTAAGGACTAATTATATAATGATTGCACACAATACTTTTTCTGCAAGTAAATTAAAATAATGAAATACAACCAATATATAAAAGTCTATGGAAATCCAGTTCTAACGTGCTCTTTTTTTATTTTGTGTAATATTATTGGTCTGTAACCACATTTCTTATTATGAAGTCCTAGTACTTTTTTAAACTTCTTTAGAAACCAGTGCACAGTAGTGAGATACAATTTATCTGTAATACATAGAACAAATATATACACAAAAATCTCGCCTGTCACCCATTCAGGGGTAGGCAGAGACTGTGGACCTCCAGTTTTCGGTTGCCCGTACGCTGCGAACGCGAAAGGACGTATCGATCAATTATTTGTTTGCGCGCGCTTGACATAGTTTTTTAAGATGGCGAAATGTGCAAAATGCAACAAACTAGTTGGAAAAAAAAGCCCAGGTGTACAATGTAACAAATGTAGCAAGTGGATTCACGGCTCCTGCGCATCATTGTCCATGGATCAGTTAAATGCATTATCAGTGACCGAATCAGTTGATTGGAAATGCAACCGTTGCTCCACAACGAATGGTGGCAAACCGAAACGTATTTCGGTCATATTACCGGACCATGAAGATGTAGAATCAGAAACTGATATGGAATGTGATAGTCGTAAAGATCAGGATAAATTCTTACATGAAATACGTAAAGAGGTACGAAGTATGAGAGAAACGGTACGCGATATAATAAGAGATGAACTGCAGAGTACCCTTCATTTTTTCTCAAAAAAAAATTGACGAATATGAAGAAAAAATTACTGATTACGAAACCAGGCTTAAATTAACGGAAAACCAATATAAAAATGTATCGAATTTGTGCAAAAATCTAGAACTCCGGAATGAATTACTTGAGCAAAAATTTAACAAATGGGAACAAGCACAACTGAATAACGAGATTGAGATATGTGGAATAATGGTTAAAGAAAACGAGGACGTAACCAAGATTGCAGTAGCAGTAAGTAAAATCCTCCGCCAAAAACCCGAGGATATAATAAAGGCTTATAGGAAGAAAAAAGTAATCCGACAGGGCACAGCACGAGCTGTACGAGAAGCCGCCGATGCGCCAATCGGCGTGACCTTACGAGAGGGTTGCCGCGAACAATGGCTGCGTGCGATAAGGGACACTAGGATAAGTCCTAGTGATCTGTAGTAGTTGACGGGGAGGTCGGTGGTGACACTAAGGTATACTTGCGTGCTGCACTAAGCCCTATTACATCATACTTACTGTGGAAGGCCAAGACGGATCTGAGGGACAAGGCTCTGTGCAAATATGTGTGGTGTAGGGAGGGAACGGTAATGGTTCGTAGAACCGATGGTGATCATAAGATTTACTATGTACGCTCAGGTAATGATATTGAGACGATCAAAAGGGAGCTACAGAAAAAATGAGGTATGTCACTTAATTTTTAACTAATTTTTTTCCTTTTCTTTTTCACTTCTATTTTATTTTGTCATTACCGTCATTTTTGCGAAAAATTATATAAAAAAATTTTTATGAACTTTAATACATCAGATATAGTTGAAACAACACACCAGTTGTGGACAGATTTTGTATGTGACATACCTCGAAAAAGAAATAAATTATTATTATTGCATGTTAACTTAAGATCATTGATAAAAAATCATTCTCAAATTGAATTCATTGTATCTACATGCCCGGCAATAATACATCTTGTTGTAATCACGGAAGTAAATATAAATAACATAACAAAAAACCTATTTCAATTAGAAAACTATACAATGTACACGGAGCTACGAAGCAAACGAAGAGGAGGCGGTATAATGTTGTATGCTCATAACAGTGTAAGGTTTATGCAATGTTCAAAAATTACATTTGAATTCGAGTGCTTATCTGGCGAAGTGATCAGTCATGATGGCTATAAAACAAACCTTTGTGCTATTTATCGGCCGCCTCACCTTAGTGTTTGTAGCTTCGTTAAGGAATTATCACGGCTTATACATAATTATCCTACAAACTCAAATTGTATTATAGTGGGTGATATGAATATAGATTTAAGTACATCAAGCACATTAGTAAATTCATATCTTAATGAATTAACAGAAGCAGGATTCCAAAGTTGCGTTAATCAATACACCAGAATTGAAACTACGAAAAGAGGCACATCCAAAACGTGCATAGATCACATATTCATCCGTGACGTACTTGAGCGAAATAGCCGTAGTCATATAATAAAGTCAACTGTGGTACAAAACGCGGTGGCCGATCACTTCATAACCGGACTAGCGCTCATCGGCGCGGATACAATTCGACGCGACACGTTCAATACCACCGTTAATGACACTAAAATAAGACATGAACTCGCTTGTATTGACTGGAGCCCGGTTTTTCAAATACCTGAGAAAAATGGAATTCTTAATTATATATTAAATGTGTTTGATAATATATATAGTAAGTGTAAAGAATGTAAAATAGTATATTTTGATGGAAAAAAGAAATGTACTTGGATAACAGATAAATTAATTGAAATGGCTGAAACGAAAAGTAAACTTCTAAAATAATATTTGTCCGATGTAACTAATAAAAAAAACGAATTAATTTATAAAAAGTATAGAAATAGAACAAATAAACTTATGAATAAAGCCCGAAATAATTCAATAAAAAGGGAAATCCATAGCAATTTGAAGAATCCAAAGAAAATGTGGGATATTATTAATAGATTATCTGGAAGGATTGTACAGGTTATTGATGATGTACTAATTAAACACTTCCGTATGAAGGCTAAAGATTTATCTAATAAATTTGCAGAGGATTTTGAAAGTAATGTAAAAAACCTAGTTGACTCCTGCTCTTCACCAATGCTTGACGAGATGTCTTATATAAATACTCCAAACGTCTCATTAAAATTAAATAAAATAAATGAACAAGTATTAGCAAAGATAATTGACGGTTTAAATTCCAATAAGAGTCCGGGTATTGACAAAATAAGGGCAAAAGATATTAAATACATTGCCTCGGACATAGCACCTGTCTTAACACATTTAATTAACAGGTGTATAACAACTTCCACTTATCCTGACAGATTAAAAATAGGTGTTGTTAGACCTATACATAAAAAGGGTAGCTATACTGATACTAACAACTACAGGCCGATTACAATCTTATCATGTATTGACAAGATAATAGAAAAATATATAGGGAGGGAAATTAATGATTTCTTGTCAAAAAATCGAGTCATTAATCAGCATCAATTCGGATTTCAGAAGAATAAAAGTACAGTAAAACTACTGTCTTTGTTTTCAGAGGAGGTAAATGGCCATTTAAATGATAAAAAGCATGTGCTTACAATTATGGTAGACTTTAGCAAGGCATTTGATGTGTTAAATTATGAAATATTATATAAAAAAATGATGCAGAATGGTATACAGGGCCCACTGCTGGACTGGTTTAAAAATTATCACCATAAAAGATTTAACACTGTCAGTATAAACGGTGTTCATAGTGACTTAATTCCTACCGTATGCGGAACAGCACAAGGCTCAATTTTGGGGCCTACTGAGTATCTTATTTATGTCAACGATATGTGTAACATATTCAGGGAGAGCTCTGTATACCAGTTCGCTGATGATACTTGCTTGATAACTGCACACCAAGATATACAAGTCGCCCAATGTATGATGCAGATCGAATTTAATAAGCTATGTAAATGGGCACACGATCTGGGTCTGTCTA